TCGCCGCTCCGCCCGCTGCTGGGCGCCCTGGCGGGGGCAGGGCGGGGCGTGGCGCGGCGCGGGCGGCGGGCGGGGGCGGCGGCGCGCGGGCGGGCGGCGGGGGGCGCGGCGGCGCGCGGCGGGCGGCGCGGCGGCGGGCGGCGCGGCGGCGGGCGCGGCGCGGCGGGGCGGCCGGTCGGGCGGCGGGCGGCGGGGCGGGCGGAGGAGAGCGGCGGTCGCGGGCGCGTGTCCCTGGAGCTGGGCCCTGCGCGCCGCACTCCGGGCCGGATCGCTGCAGGGCGCCGGCGCAGGTGAGCGGCGCGGCGGGCTGGCCCGCGGGCGGGCGCAGTGGACGGGCGCGCGCTGGGCGCAGTGCCAGCAGCGCGCGGCAGGCTGGCAGGCGGCGGCAGCGTGGGGCGCGGCAGGCGGGCGCATGGTGCGGGCGCGGCCCGGCGGCGTGAGCGCGGCGGCCCGGGGGCGCAGGTGGCGGGCGCGGCGGGCGCCGCGCGGGGAGGTGAGCGCGCGGCGCGGGCCCGCGCCGCCAGGCTGGCGGGGGCGTTGGCGGGCTCCGCGGGTTGCGCCGCAGAGACATCTCTTGGGCGGGGGCGTTGGGCGGGGCTCCGCGGGGCTGGCGCCGCAGGAGGACGCGCCCGTGTGTCCAGGGGTGGCCTTGCGCCAGCTGTGCGGCACATCTGCCCCTGAGAGACCGCCTTCCCTCCCTGCACCTTTTACCTGGCTGCCTCTAGCGCCCACAACACGAACGCAGCAGGGAAAGACCCTCCGAGAAAAAGGTCACCTTTTCTGTCGCAAAGAAGCTTCCTGCCGGAGACTCTCCTTTAGCTTCTGGAAGTCTGGCTCTGTCAGTTTGTTTGGGTCTTTGTCTGATGTGGGCACTGTTTCCGCCACAGTCTCCTCGCATTCTTCTCCGCTCTGGCCAGCCTCTCCCTCTGTTTTGGGACTGTCCTGACAGTGATTCAGCAAGAAGCTGCTTTATCTGGGGTTAAGGACCTATCTAGGCATTACACCACACTCACTAATGAGCGTCTGCCACTGGGCTGGGTGGGCACTGTGCCAAGTACTAGGGTGACAGCGACGGACAGGACAGACTTGGCTCGCCGTCCCCAGGGAGACAAGTATTAGAGTCACAGGAAGCACACCCCGGAAGGGCAGTGTTTACTCCAGCGGAGACACCTAACCCAGGGAGGAAGGGTCGGGAATGACTCAGAGGAAGCCACATCTAGTTATGTTTTAGACTTAAAAAATTAATATACAATTGCACAAATCATAAGTGCATACCTATTTGAGAAACACCCTATGTGTCTATTAGCACTTTGAGTGACATTATCCTTCAAGTCCCAATAAATCCTGCACAGACAAATGTTTTAGCAAGTGTTTGAGAACAAAACTTAGGCTTTTGAAACCGAAATTCTTTTTTTTTTTTTTTTTTTTTCTTTGAGACACGGTCTTCCGCTCTGTTACCCCAGCACTAGTCAGTCGGTTCATCCATCCACGTCGCGCCCCTCCACTGTATCCCTCAACTCCTGGGCTCAAGTCGAGCCCGGCGCGGCGGCGGTGGCCCGGCGGGGCGGCCCAGTGGGCGGCGGGGGCGGGCGCGGCTCCGCAGGCCCTCCTGCGCGCCAGCCCTCCCCGATACGCTACAGCACTGTGCCATCCATTCCTGGTAATTTTAAATTCTTGTCAGAAATACGACGCTCATTATGTTACCGACTGGTCTTGAATTCCCAGTCCCACAAGCATCCTTCCCACCCCCTTCAGCCATTTTTTTTTTTTTTTACGCCTTTCAAATCCTACTGGATCCACAGGCATCGAGCCAAACTTCGTCCGGCCTCTCCAAAATTCTTAAATATAAAATCAAAGTCAGGTGAAGTGTAGATTAATTTATTCATTTAAAGATTTAAAAACTCTTTCAAACAATTATACCCTATTAAACCAGATTGAGTGTAGAATTCCCAAACCTTAAATCCAAGGCTTCTCCATCTCATTCCTCCTGAATTGTATCAGAGAGGATATGCTCTAGCTCCCTTATGCCTCATGTAGCAA